GATGTCTGAGGCAGCAGGCAATAAGATAAGTTTGGGATAGGATGGTTCAATCCAAGTCAATTTGGTAAATTCGATAAATTCTATTAAATATAAACAGAGTAATGTTATGAAGCTAGAAAAGCTGACTGCAGGAGCTGGAGAGGTGGCTCAGTGATTAAGAGTGTTTTCTGTGCAGTCCTCAAGACTGGGGTTCAAAGGCACCTACACTGCAGCCAGGCATCTCAAACATCTGTAATTCCAGCTCCAAGGGGTCAAGTGTCTGCTTCCAGTCTCTAAACATGCACAGACATGCATGCCTGTCTACCAGAGTAACACACAAATAAAAGAAATCTTCATTAAGAAAAGAAAGTCTTATGCCGATGTTTGTATGGGAAATGAAAGGTACAAAACCAGCCATGGAAACACAGAGGGAAAGAGAAAGGCTGGAACAGCTTGCTACCAGGGGCTTGCTCCAGCCTCCCCCTCATCTGGGCGTTTGTGTTCTCCAGGCAATTCAGCCAAGGCATGCAGAGCACACTGTGGACAATGGGCAGAGTCAATTACAGACCAAGATGACATCCTGCAAAAGCAAGAGCCGGCAGTAGACAGAGACGCCATGTCTAGGTAAGCTTGCTACAGGGTTTTCAAGTTTGGGGACAGACTCCTGAGGACCATTTTTCCGGGCAGGTGATTGACAGTCCCATCTAGTTGAACTCCTTTTTTATATATACTTTATTGTTTTTAATTGAGCTATACATTTTCCCCTCCCCTTCCTCTCCCTTTCCACCCTCCACCCACTCCCATCCCCCATGCTCCCAATTTACTCAGGGGATCTTGTCTTTTTCTCCTTCCTAGGCAGATCCATGTATTTATCTCTTAAGGTCTTCTTTGCTGTCTAGGTTCTCTGGGGTTGTGGACTATAGGCTGGTTATTCTTTATGTCTAAAAGCCACTTATGAGTGAGCACATATTATATCTGCCTTTCTTGGTCTGAGTTATCTCACTCAGTATGGTTTTTTCTAGTTCCATTCATTTGCTTGTGATTTCAAGATGTCATTATTTTTTATCACTGAGTAGTACTCTACTGTGTAAATGTACCTACCACATTTTCCTTATCCATTCTTCAGCTGAGGGGCACCTAGGTTATTTCCAGGTTCTGACTATTATGAATAATGCTGCTATGAAAATGGCTGAGCAAATGGCCTTGTGGTATGATTGAGCATCCTTTGGGTATATGCCTAAGAGTGGTATTGCTTGGTCTTGAGGTATATTGAGTCCTAATTTTCTGAGAAATCACCATGCTGAGATCTTTCCATTTTCTGATGTCTTCCTTGATTTCTTTCTTTAAAGATTTAAAGTTCTTTTCATACAGGTCTTCCAATTGTTTAGTTAGAGTTATCCCAAAAATATTTTATGTTATCTGTGGCTATTTTAAAGGGTGATGCTTCTCTGATTGCTTTTTCGGGCCATTTATCATCTGTATGTGGGAAGGTTCCTGATTTTGTTAATTAATCTTGTATCCTGCTACATTACTAAAGGTGTTTATCAGTTGTAGGAGTTCCCTGGTGGTATTTTGGGGGTTATTTATGTATACCATCATATCATCAACAAATAGTGATAAAAGTCTGACTTCTTCTTTTCCAATTTGTAACCCCTTGATCTTGTTGGTTTTATTTTTGCCTTATTGCTCTAGTTAGAACTTCAAGTACTATATTGAATATATAGATATAGAGAGAGTGGCCAGCCTCGTCTTGTTCCTGATTACAATGTGATCATTTTGAATTTCTCTACATTTAGTTTAATGTTGGCTGTTGGTTTGTTGTAGATGGTCTTTATTATATTTAGGTATATTTATCCTAAATATAGGATGTAAATACAGGTTGTATCCCTGTTCTTTTCAAGGGGTATTGAATTTTGTTGAAGGTTTTTTCAGCATCTAATGATGTGATTATGTTTTATTTTTCTTTCAGTTTGTTTATATGGTATGATTTTTCTGATGTGTTCTTGGTTTGCTGGTATTTTATTGAGTATTTTTGCATCAATGTTCATGAGTGAGATTGATCTGTAATTCTCTTTCTTAGTTGTGTCTTTGAGCAATTTGGGTGTCAGGGAAACTGCAGCCTTGTAAAAAGAGTTTGGCTATGTTCCTTCTGTTTTTCTTATTTGGAACAGTTTGAGGAGTATTAGTATTAGTTCTTCGAAAATCTGGTAAAATTCTGTACTGAAACCATCTGGTCCTGGGCTTTTTTGGGGGGGGGAGATTTTTGATGACTGTCTCTACTTCCTTAGTGGTTATAGGTCTATAGGTCTATTTAATTTGCTTGTCTGGTCTTGATTTAATTTTGGTATGTGGTACTTATTCTGAAAATTGTCCATTTCTCTTAAGTTTTCCAATTTTGTAAGTTTCCTAGGTGTCCCCCTTTTCATTTCTGATTTTGTTAATTTGGATATTCTCTGTATCTTTTGGTTAGTTTGGAAAAAGGTTTGTCTATTTTGCTAATTTTCTGAAAGAACCAATGTTTTGTCTCATTGATACTTCGTAATTTTTGTTGTTGTTGTTTCTTTTTCATTGATTTCAGCTATGTTTAATTGTTTCCTGTTGTCTAGTCCTTCTGGTGAGTTTGCTTCTGTTTATTCTAGGGTTTTCAGGTGTTCTGTTAACTCACTAGTGTGGGATTTTCTAGCTTCTTTATTGTAGTGCTATGAACTTTCCTCTTAATACTGCTTTCATTGTGTCCCATTCATTGTGTCCCATAAGTTTTGGTATGTTGTGTGGTCATTTCCATTGAATTTTAGGAAGTCGTTAATTTCTTTATTTCTTCCTTGACCCAGTGGTGATTCGGTTGAGCACTGTTCAGTTTCTACAAGTTTCTGGGCTTTCTGCAGTTAGTGTTTTTGCTGAATTCTAACTTCAAACCATGATTATCTGATAAGACCTGGAGTTATTTCAATTTTTTTTTGTACCTGTTGAGATTTTCTTTGTTACTGAGTATGTGGTCAGTTTTGGAGAAGGATCTATGAGGGGATGAGAAGGTGTATTCTTTTGTGTTTGAGTAAAATGTCCTATAGATGTCTGTTAATCCCATTTGAGTCATAAGATCTTTTAGATCCTTTATTTCTCTATTAAGTTTCTGTCTGGCAGACTGTCCAGTGGTGAGAGTCGGGTACTGAAGTCTCCCACTATTAGTGTGGGGCACTTGATGTGTGATTTAAGCTTTAGTAATGTTTCTTTTACAAGTGAGGGTGCCCTTGTATTTGGGGCATAAGTGTTCAGAATTGAAACTTTATCTTGTTGGATTTTTCCTGTGGAAGATATAAAATGATCTTCTTTATCTCTTTTGACTAATTTTAATGTGAAGTCTTTTTGTTAGATATTAGGATAGCTACACCAGCTTGTTTCTTAGGTCCATTATATTGGAAAATCTTTTCCTAACCCTTTAAGCTGAGGTAATGTCTGTCTTTGTAGTTGAGGTGTGTTTCTTGTATGCAGCAGAAAAATGGATTCTGTTTTTGTATCCAATCTATTAGCCTTTGTCTTTTTATAGGCAAATTGAGTTCATTGATATTAAGAGATATTAATGACCAGTGATTGCTAGTTCCTATTATTTTTGGTTTTGGTGGTGGTGGTGGTGCTGTGTGTATGTTTCTCTTCTTTGGGATTTGTTGGTTTGGGATTATCTATTGCTTGTGTTTTTGTAGGTGTAGCTAACTTCCTTGGGTTGAAGTTTTCCTTCTAGTACTTTCTGTAGGGCTGGATTTGTGGCTAGGTATTGTTTAAATATGGATATGTTGTAGAATATCTTATTTTCTCTGTCACCTTTGATTGAAAGCTTTGCTGTATATAGTGGTCTGGGCTGGCATCTGTGGTCTCTTAAGTGCCTGAATAACACCTGACCACAACCTTCTGGCTTTCATTGTTTCTTTTGAGAAGTCAGGTGTATTTCTGACAAGTCTACCTTTATATATTAGTTGGACTTTTTTCTTTTCATTTCTTCATATTCTTTCTTTATTGTGTATGTTCAGTGTTTTGATTATTATGTGGCGAGGGGAGTTCATTTTTTTTAATCCAGTCTATTTGGTGTTCTGTAAGTTTCTTGTACCTTCATAGGCATATCCTTCTTTAGGTTAGAAAAATTTTCTTCTATGATTTTGTTGAATATATTTTCTGTGCCTTTGAGCTAGACTTTTTCTCCTTCTTCAATTCCAATTATTTGTAAATTTGGTCTTTTCATGGTGTCCCATATTACCTGGATATTTTGTGTTAAGAATTTGTTGGATTTAGCATTTCTTTGACCAATGAATCTATTTCCTCTATTGTATCTTCAAGACCTGAGATTCTCTCTTCCATCTCTTGTATTCTGTTGTTTATGCTTGCATCTGTAGTTCCTGACCATTTACCCTGATTTTCCATTTCCAGATTTCTCTTGGTTTGTGGTTTTTTATTGCCTCTATTTCAGTTTTCAAGTTTTGAAATGTTTCTTTCACCTGTTTGATTGCTTTTTCTTGGTTTTCTTTAAGGGATTTATTGATTTCTTCCATTTTTTGTCATCTTTTCCTTCATTTCTTTAGGAAATTTTTCATTTCATTCTTAAGAGCCTCAATCATCTCTCTTAAGTTATTTTTAAGGTTGTTTTCTTCTGCTTCATCTGCATTGGGATGTTCAGGTCTTGCTGTTATAGAACCACTAGTTTCTGGTGGTGCTGTCTAGCTCTTTATATTATTGAGTGTATTCTTACCCTGTTGTCTAACCATCTCTTCCTCCAATAGGAACAGGTGGAGCCTGTGTTTCAGGGGGTCACTTTTCCTCCAATTGGTGTAGTTGGGGGTTATGGCTCTGTTGATTACTCTTCAGGTGTAGGCAGAGGAGAGCCTTCTGTGTTTATTCCTCCAGGTGCCTACAGCCCAAGGCTCAGGTGGTCATTTTTCCTGATGTTGGTGTGGTTGAGGCTCCGGTGGTCAGATGATTTCTGGAGGTCACTGCAGTCTTCATGGCTTGCTGCATTGCTACTCACGTTTCTCCTCAAAAATATGGAATATTTCATGAGTTTGTGTGTTATACTTGCACACGGGCCTTGCTAATCTTCTCTGTACCATTCCAATTTTAGCATATGTGCTGCCGAAGCGAGCAGCCATCTAGATGAACTATGAAAAGAGGAGATGGAAGTGTGTCTGTTCTGTTCTTTACTGAACCCTGCTGCTATATAAGAAGATTTTCTTATAAGCTATACCTCAGTTAAGTTACTAGAGAAACCAAAAATTATTTCCCAAGTTTTTTTTTAAAAAAAATTCTTAGGAGAGAGAGAGAGAGAGAGAGAGAGAGAGAGAGAGAGAGAGAGAGAATATGATCAGATGTTGCATGCGCCACTCAGGAATACCCTTAACTGTTTCTATATTCAGCCATGAGATATCAAAACCTTAGAGATAGATTTTTGAGAAAACAAAAGAAGAGGCCATGCGTTTATGGGTTTGAAGGGTTTATATTACACACATGACCACAATCCCTCTGTTCATCTCTGGGAATCATGTAAATACCAGTGAATACAACAATTCAAGAAAAATTAGTAAGAAATGCACAGTTTGACACTGGGACCCAGGGGACGATTTTTCTGATAAATACAAGGCTGTTTCACTCTGTCTGTGCAGGTAGGAAAAAACAGAAGCCAGGTATTTGGAGGAAACGGTAACACTCACACAGTGAGGACGAAGATGAAGTTGGAAAGCTAGACCATTAAAAGAGGTGCCCTGTATGGGGCTGGAGAGATGGCTCAGAGGTTAAGAGCATTGCCTGCTCTTCCAAAGGACCCGAGTTCAATTCCCAGCAACCACATGGTGGCTCACAACCATCTGTAATGGGGTCTGGCACCCTCTGCTGGCCTGCAGACATACACACAGACAGAATATTGTATACATGATAGATAAATAAATAAATAAATAAATAAATAAATAAATAAATAAATAGGTGCCCTGTAATCCGAATGAGTAACTAGAGTCACACTGGGCGGGGGGCATCTACCAGCCTGTGAGAGTGCGGAATTGGATGAAGAGCTGTTAACTGCTCTCTGCAAACAGGTGGGGGAAAACCTTGAAGTGACAGGCATGAGAGAAGTGGGAATCCCAGGAGGCAATGGGAGGGAAAGGCATGCTCACTGCAGAGTTATGTAAAACATGAGCAAAACCTTCCTGCTTCAAATTGTTACTTTAAAAAGTGTGTGTGTGTGCACACGCGTGCATACTTGTGAATGTATTCCGTGTGAGTGCAGGTGCCCTCAGGGGCCCTGGAATGGAGTTATCAGTGGTTTGAGTCACATGATTTGAGTTCTGGGAACTGAATCCTGGTCTTCTACAAGAATGTCAAATGTTCTTAACTTCTGAGCCATCTCTCCAGCCGCCAAACTGCAAATTTTTGCTATGAGAAACTAAAATTCTAAATAAATGGAGATATATGTTTCTTAAGTAAATAAATAAAAATACCCTGTGTTTTCATTCCTCACACACCAGACTGACCAAAGACATGGCAGAGCCATCTGTGAAAACCAGGAGGAGACAGCCTCCTGCATTTGACCAAGAATGCGAGTCGTCTGGGGTTGGGGTGTAGCTCAGTTGGTTTGGCATTTGCCTAAAACATGCCCAAGGCCCTGGGTTCAGTCCCCAGTACCATGAAAAGGAGTGGAGGGGAGAATTTGACAATATCTAACAAAACTCTGCATGCGTGTACATGTGTATCTGTGTGTATGCGTGTGTGTGTGTGTGTGTGTGTGTGTGTGTGTTATCTTTTGATCTGTTGATCTGAAGTCAAGGTTATTCACTGTAGCTGTCTGCAATAGCGAGATAGAGCACCTGGATACCCACACCCAGGACTGTGATTAATGAACCTGGCACAGCAGACAGTGGGGTAGGATGCAAGTGTAAAGACAGTTCCCCAAAATGGTAGAGAGACATTTCCAGAAGTCATCGCTAAGTAAATAAGTAAGTAAGTAAGTAAATAAATAAAACCAGCATTATGTCAGTTAGGACCAGGATGATCAGGGTTAAAAGGGTCTTGTTTTCCCATCTTTTTTTTTTTTTTTGGAGGGGGGGTATCTACCATAACTGAACAAAAAGCTTCTGATTCATTAAAAAATAAATATAATTGTCTAAAATAGAAAACTTCTAAGTGGCTATTTTTATATTTTAACACTCAAATTTTGTAAAGTAGCCATTCCATGGTTTAAGAGATCATGTGCCCATTACGTGTTAATAGCATTCCACGCTGGCCAATCCTCCAGGATTATAAGTGATAAGTGACAAAGTCCACTCATAAAAACTAAATACCTTCTGGTCACGGTGTCACACGCCTTTAATCCCAGCACTTGGGAGACAGAAGCAGGCAGATCTCTCTTCATTCCAGGCCAGCCTGCTCTACATAGTGAGTTCCAGGACAGTCAGGGCTAGGTAGAGAGGTCCAATCTCAAAAAAGCAAAACAATAAAGCAAAAACCTGAAGGTTTTCTAGGAAAGATTTGGGGAAGACAGGTGACAAGAAATTGTCATACTGCAGTAATATGACCTAGGGTGATATGGCTTTAAGATAGATACTAGATAAGACAGGCGATGATGAAGATAGATAGATGATAGATAGATAGATAGATAGATAGATAGATAGATAGATAGATAGACAGACAGACAGACAGAGATAGATAGATAGATAGATAGATAGATAGATAATAGACAGATAAATAGAGAAATAGAACATAGATGATAGAAGATGAATAATATTGATAAGTGAAAGAAGACAGACGATAGATGAACAAATAGATTGACAAATGATTGATAGATATGGTAGAGGAAAATAATGCTGCTGATAAATGAAAGATAGAAGACAGATGATAGATGCATAGGCAATAGATTGAGATAGACAGAAATAGATGGCAGACTGGTAGGTGATAACTCGATAATAGATGATAGAGGGGATAGGCATAGATGATAAGTAGATAGACAATGACAGAGATCTTAGATTGATGGATGGCAGTTAGATTGGTAGATGATGGATAGGCGATAGTTTGAAAGATGACAGGCAGATAGATGATAAGTTGACAGATGACAGATAGATGCTTTTCTTTTGCTATGTCTACTGGGAAAGACTGAAATTACGGATGGGGAGTGGTCCCTTCTGAGCACCATCACCTGCTCGTGGAACTCGACTTCAGGAAGCGGCTGGTCTTCAGAAACTGCATATGAGCTAAAGCTGGGAAACTGCGTATAAGTCTGGAAAGGCTTCTGCCTGGAGCTAAGGAGGAGCTGTGGGAATTCTTCAGAGGACATAGGGCATCTGAAGGCCTCCCCACAGGCCAAACCTGGGGCTATTTGAGCATCAAAGCAAATAACGAGAAACAGAAGCAACCATCTTTCACGACAGCAATGGAGCAGGGATTCTTCTTTGCTAACGAGACCGAGAGTATCAGAAAGAGCAGCTACCAGGCCAAGGGGGCTCTTGCACTGCAGAACCAGACCTAGGATAGTTCAGTCTCATGGCTGATCAGACAAAAGGGGACACAAGTGTCTCCTGTATGGTTATCCTGTTTCTTTGTCACCAGCAGACATAAGAATTACATTGCCTAGAGCCATCTTGGGAGCCACGGGGACATGCTAGCCACAGCTCTCAGCCTAGAAATACTGCTTAATCACTTTTAAGGACAGCCTGATGGCAAGCAGACATGGAAGAAAACAACCAGCGTTCTGCTGCAAGTCTGCAGGCCATGGTGTAGGAGCAGCACTCAGACAGGTTCACCCTCAGACGTCATTACCAGGATTCATCAACACAGACCCCCTACCTCTTTGATGGCACACAATTTTACACCTCCACTCACAGGCTGGGACTCTTGCACACACTGGGTCTCCTGTGACACAATTTTAAACCCCCACTCACAGGCTGGGACTCTTGCACACAGTGGGTCTCCTGTGACTTGCAGTGGTTTTTGTTTCTTTGCTTGTTTGTTTTGTTTTTTTCCCATATCAAACATTCCTTGTCATTGTTCAGATGGAGTGGGCACTGCATGGGCAATCCCACAACCTCTGATGTCCCTACTGAATGGCACTAAGAAGAGCAATGACATTCTACCAGAGCTGACTGATTCCATATCCTATGAGCATCCCGTCCCCACCGCTAACCCCGGCTCTGCATGCCCTAGTTCCTGGAAGTCAGCCTGGCAGGGAATTGAATTAACCCTGCACCCTGGAGGGATAATTTCCTCTGTCCTTATGACTAGGGTAGAGATTGGCAGCGGAGAGAGATAGAGACTGTGCTGTTCCACACAGCCCTTTGTGTCTCACAGGCAGCAGCCTGGGCGTGTGGGAGGAGTGGCTCATCTGTCACCTCAGAAGTCCTGCTTTCCTGTCCACTCCATGTCTTTGCTACTAGACTCGAAAACGCTAGCTCTGTGTCCCCGGGTTTGGAATCAGTATGCAACGGCTGAGCTTTCCTTTTCCTTCCTGTCTGTCTTCCCTCCCACCCAGGGATCAGAGCCAGGTGGTCAGACTTGAAGGCCAGCACCTTTGCCCACTGAGCCATCTCGCCAGACCCCCAAATGCTATTGTTCTGAAAGGAGAAATTCAACTGTCTGATGGAGCAAAGGGGACCAGCAGAGGGGGAGAGGAAAGGGAGGAGGAGGCATGAGAGGTTTGCTCCAAGTACGATGTGAATATGTCCTTATGGGACACAGTATGCTGGATAAATGCAAAAATATATCAATAAAACAAACGTTTCTAACGCTGTGCTCATCTTCCTTTCTTTATAAATTATTAATTATTACTTTTATTGCCCCAGCGCCCTAAACTGTAAGAATCAAAACCAAAATAGACGAATGAGGTTATATCAAACTAAGAAGCTTTCAGATGACAAATATTACAGTGAACAGGCAACTCCCAGAGCGGGGAAATCCCTGTGAAGTCTTCCTTGTCTTTAACATGAAAACATCTTCTTCTTGGAAGAGCTGTGACCACACTGGAGAAAATAGAAACTACTCCCCACAGCTCCAGAGTCACACTAGAATGCTTCTCCTTTGTTGAAACTGGTTTTGCGCAGTCTGCTGTTCACATCCTGATTTTAGTATACTATTCTTAATTTCTTATTTTTACCTATCCAGGTAACACGT